GAAGAGCAGAGCGCCGCGCCGCCGCGGACGTTGGCGTCGGCGCCAACGTCAACGTCGACGTCCACTCCGATTTTATATACCCTATCTTCCCCTTCCCCTCGTCAACCACTCGTTTTGTTTATTATTGTCTTTTCCTTCTCTCCCCATATCGATAAAGATTTTTATATTTATTAACTTAGTCCAATTCCCAATTTCTATAAGCTTATCGTTTTCTATAATCGTTAGGGACAGTGACTAGGGAAATTGCCATTAATTTTACCGCGCCTGGCAAATAATCGGCTTGTTCTTTTAAAATTATGCGACTTAAATTCTCTCCTTATTCAGTGTAGCGACCCTTACAATTCATCTTACTCGCATGTACTCACATGTAATATTCTTGGTTTTGGATCTGCTGCAAATCTAGTTGAAGTAAAATCCGTATGGACAGACGCGTGTCATTTTATTTCGAAATTTTTGTACCTTGTTTTTTTAGTTTTACGCACTTAACATATTAATTGTTTTTTAAAACATTATTATTCTTTTATATTAAAGATTGAAATCGATATTTGTAAAAACATAAATCCACGAGATGAGTTCCATAAATGTTAATTAATACTATGATCGTTAATAGAATGAAATAAATGTCTAATTAATATTATGCTAATTCATTAGCCAGTATAGTATAGCTTAAAAGAACTTTATGTAAAAGGACTTGTAATTATTAAATATTAGATATTATAAACAATTCGTCATCTATTTGGAAATTGAAGCTCTAGATTCCTACCAATAAGTATTTATAGAAACATCTTGTGTTCATTTTCGAACACTTTTTCAGCAAAAGATATAAATAGAGACATTTATATTTCATACAACATATTCTATTTAAGAAGAAACTTTCAAATAAATGAACGAAGGACTAAAGATATGATTCAATACAATTAGACATTAAATGATTATAAAATCTAAAAGATTGAATTTTCAAAATATGTATGAACTACTAAAACGTTTAATGAAATTAGTAACTTTTATTTGTCAAAAATTTTATGTAATTACTGAATTTATGTATATTCATCTACTATGACTTAATGCGCAACACAATATTTAATAACGTTTCAAATGAATTATTGTTGTACTTTTGTGAATTCGGTATTTTTACAGTACTCATGTATATTAATAAAATGTTCCCATCAATTGTCCCTTAAGATATTGAAAACTATAAGCTCATATAAATCACCAAGAATAAAACATTGATGTAAATTTAAGTGCAATAAAAAATGTTTTATTTATATTATGAAAATTGTATAAACTAATGCCAGATATACTTTACTTTTATTATATTAATATGCTAATGAAGCGGTTTTCTATATATTAATCTATTATTCTTATATTGTAGTGCATCTAAATTTTCAAAGTACTATTTCAATTTTACCTATATGTATACATTAAGTATTACCTATATACATATACGTTAAGTCAAATTAAAATTAAATTAAATTTATGCAAAAATAAAAGCTAAAATTGAAAACAAATTCGATTATTTCAAATTTTCTGGGAAAAAAAACTGATAAATAATATAATGATTATATTTATATTTCCGTTAGGTAAATAATAATTTCTATTTATTCACTTTCAAAGTTTTTGCCAATTTACATCACTTATAACAAAACTTACGTAATCGAATCTAATTAATGACTTCCAGATATACTCAAAATATTTTTGTCTAATAACTATTAAAATTTAAATATACATAAGTACTATGCATTATATAAATTATAAATATGTGTTGTGATATTTTCATACCTTCGATTATATATAATAACATTCTATTTTGTGTAGTGGATATAATGATTTTTATGCATAAGTTTGAAAATTACATATTTTCGGGAAAAACTTTCTTAAGTGCTATAATCAAAATAAGAATAAAATGTATGAATCTTTAGAGTATGAATAAAGCATTCAAAAGTACATTAAAAGTTTAAAAAAAAAAAAAAAAAAAAAAATCAAATATTATTTGTAAATCTTAAATATCATTGTCTAAATATGTTTTTTATTTATAAAAAGAATCGGTATCACATTCAAGTATAATAAAAACAGAGGCATAAGCATTGAACATCGACTAACTATAAAATTATTAATAACAATATTAGGTATAATAATAATAATATTTTTTAAAGTATACATGAAAAATGTTGTCTTTATTTTGTATTGCCTTTATTTTATCCTTTTGTTTATCCTTTCAATCATAAGGAAACAAATATAAATATTTTTATAAATATTATTTATAATGTATTACGTAGCATTATGTTTAAATAAATTGTATTTGAATAACTGAATTTGAATTCAATCAAATGTCGAAAATCATTTTTCATATTTCATATTTCACGAAAGTTATACTATTCATCATTGTAGAGAAGATACTTTTAGCAATAAAAAAAATTCAGAGTTCCATATTATATCAATACCGAATATAAACATATACATACACATTTATGTATATTTTTTATTTTTGAAGGATTCATCACTCTTTTTATACTTACCTATTTAGAATATTGTTTCTTCTCCTATTGAGTATTTACTGCGTATTTTTCTAAATAATTTAAACTGAAATATAATGATATTAACTTCTAAATTTTTACGTTAAATGTATATTTTTAGTGTAACCAATATTATAAAAAATGGATACTTTTAAAAGTTTTGTATAAAAAAAAAAAAAAAAAAAAAAAAAAAAAAAAAAAAAAAATGAAGATTCAATATAATAATTGCTTGTCATTTAGTTAATTAATAATAATTATCTTATACATATTGAAATGTGAAATATGATTGACTTAATTACGAAATATATAAATTAATATAAAAGTTGACATGAAACTTGGAAAGTCATTGGAATTTAAAATAAAATTTTCAGAATTCTAAAGAAAATGATATCAAACGTATTTCTAAAATCGAAAATAATTTTTAACAAAATATATTTTTTTTAATTATCATACTATATATATTTGTTGACATTGCATTTTGGTTATTTTTAGTTATTTATTATTTTTATTTAAATTAACTAAAACTTTATATTCGTAATGTTTGTACAATATTTTTATTTTAGTTCCGAATAAACTAGCAGTGAGTAAATATATTTCGTTCCACTTATTATAATATATATTGAAATACTGAAACTAGCAATTTAACAAATTTTTACATTTTATTCCATATTGATAGGTCTCTTTCATAAATTTAGGCAAAATTATTTCAATTTTCATTGATCGTAAACTAATAAAAAAAAATATTCAAACATAATTCTACACTTGTCGATTATTCCAAAATTAAGCTTTATTGAAACTTGCAACAAAAAGTATAATGTACCGGAAAATTCCGCTTTATGAATTTCAAATATATTTATTTCCGTATATTTGAATACCAAGTTATTATCCGGTACTTTTTAAATACTTTATTTATCATTATACACTCAGAATTAACGTATATGCATAAATACATAAACACACATATACAAATGAATCTGTCAAAATGTTTAGTTATTAGACTATTTAGTTTTCTATCTTAATTTCAATGATATTTCATATTACTCGGATACCCACACATAATACATATTCTCATATAAATATTTATACAGTAAAATGCAATTAATAATGACCATTAAATTTTTAATTGGCTTAAAGTTTAATAAGCTGGTCAATTCAATTAATATGTAATGCTAATATGTACATCGGTTATTTATTTTATTGTTATATTTAATGCATATCAAAATTTATCCTACAATAACTAATCTCAAACTCATCTCAACTAATTCAAATTATACATTATTTTTTAACAATTCCAAAGTCAGTATAGTATTATTTATTATTACTTTATTATTACAAATTAAATGCTATGCGTTATAAAATCTAATAACAAGACGCCCATTACTATATAATTTATGTTTATCAATTCAGAGAAAAATATAAATATTTATTCGCAATGCAAATAATACCTACATCTGTAGTTATAAAAAAAATTCCGTACGTCAATATTCGAAAGAATAAAAGATACATTGAAAGAATAACGAACAGCGTAATATTCAAAGAGGTAGATGATGTATCAATGAATATTCAAGTGAAATAATTCCTTATGAATATATAACAAAGAATTTTTTATATTATTTTTATGAATTAAGCTATTATCCAATGATATATTATTTTATAGAGTAAACATAGAAGTCAGAATTTACCGCAATTAGTTTTATCAAGATTTATTTGTCAAATTGTATTTGTATAATATTCAATATAAACTGAATGGTTTTCTTTGCACTACATTAGCATGATAACAAGAATTGTAATATTAACAATAAGAAAATGAAAATAATGGAAAATTTTTCAAATAAATGAAATTTTTTAATTTCCGTTTAAAATAATGAATAAATATCTTTTTCATTTTATATAGATTAGTTTTTATTTTAAATAGTAACTCTGTAGGAATGAAATTCCCGTTAAATTCTTTAATAATTTATTCTATTTTTTTTTTTTTTTTTTTTATTTAGCTATGCTAATTTATTTGACCTTTTGGGCGAATAATAAATTTCGAACGATTCGTATTGTGTTTGAAATGCATGCAATTTTATTAAGTAATTTTATAGTTAAGCGTATAAAGTACAAATAACGTATTTCATATAACAATTTTTTATCTTTTATCTGTAATATGCAGTCTCATTTTATTTCGGCCGCCATTTCTTTACATATGTTCACATGTAATTAAAAAAGTTATTATAAAATTGAAAGATTACGGATGTAACGCAATGGAGATGTAAGCATCCGAGTATTTTTTCAAGAGATTTTCTAACGCTCTACGTGAAAAAGTGCACACCCCTCGTACATTCCAGCGACTTGCTCTTATTATGTTATAACATTATGACTTCATAGCCTGGCTTATTGGCGATTACATAATCGAATGAGCAACTCCATATAATGACAAATAACAAGGCAAAAACGGCAAATGGAGTAAAAAGTGTGTCTGAGACTATGACTATAGGCACTCACCGAAGGATTTTTTGGTCCATGTCAAGGGTGTGAAAGCGAACACTCGGTGGTGAGAAACGCGCGAGGTTGGAGCCGGGATGACGCGGGGAGGTTGGGGTTGGAGTCCCGGTCGTGGCAGTTCCCTTGCAGCCGATACTCTCGGAGTAGGCCGTGAGCAGTGGTCGGTGTAGCAGCCCCGGACTGTCAGCTGCCGATGACGTCTCGGACGTCATTATCGCTGGGCAAAAACGGAGTTATCGCTAAATGAGGCAATGTGTTAGGCTGGATGGAAAATGGTGTGGGAATTCGACAGGGATAGATGATGATTGGGAGGTCGAGTTTTGGAATTATGACGATGATGAAGAAATGGACTTGAAAGTATTGATTAACTAATTTTAATTGTTCGATGGTTGTAGCTGGCACATTATGCTATTTGTAATAAATAATCAAGCGACTTACTTTTTATTTGTCAGCTGGACAAAAGCTTTCGGTCTTTGTTTGACATTTCTTGAATTGATTCAATACTGCGACATTGAATCGTTGAACATCTGCAACATATCATAAGGAATTATTAAATTCTATCAAAAGTTACAAGTATTTATAATAATTTTATATTCTTTACTTCGCTTATAATTCATCAGTTCATTATATATAATCCATCATTTTATAAAACGTGAAAATGTATAAATGAGCATATATTCGAAATATATATATATATATATATATATATATATGTGCAATATTTTGCTTAGGAATTCGTTTTATTTATAAATACATTCGATAGTTTATTTCTATGTCATTAAGATAATAACAATTATGTGACTATCAAATTATGTAAAAAGATAATTATTATAATTATCATATAAATAATATTGGGTTAATTTTCTCAAACAACTAACTATATTTATTCTTTAATATATATTTTTATTGAAGCGAAATAGTTCGTTGAATAAAGAATTAAAATATATGAAAAAAATAATGGCACTACTAATTCTTACTTTGGTGTTAAAAACTATGCTAAATTGCCATTGATAGCTTTCTCTTGGAGCAAAACTGAATTTCTCGGCCGATTAATTTTATTTCTTATATATATTTTGTTATAGTATTATTGTAATTTTAGCGACATAGATATCAAATAAAATATATATACTTTATTCTTCAAAATTATATAGATTGTTATGATTTTATACAAGAATTTCCTTTTTTATATGAATGTATTTATTTATATTTACTGATTATATCTATTTCAATTTTTTAATCCAATTATTCTGAAAAAGAACAAACATAATGTTTATTTAAATATAATGTAGATTTTAATAATATTTTATTTTTTTAATCTTATTCATAATAATTACTGAATTATAAATAAAATTTGTTAAACTAATTAAGAAAACTTAATATAATTATAAAAGTATGTTACGCGAAAGCTTTGAGGCTCTTGTATTGTCGAAAGTGATGAAGAATTTCCCAATTCATAAGATCTGATAAAATTCTCGTTCATTCATTGGAGACAAAATACATATTAACCACATGGATCAATAAATTCTATTCTCCACAACGTTCTATGCTATGTTAAAAATACCAAAAATTCTAGGTATTTTATATCTTTATGATAAAAAAATTATTGTATATTTATGATTCTAATAATCTTATGAGTTTATTCCGTTACTTGATAGAAATTTCACATAATTATTCAATCTATACACTAACGTATGAAATGTGTTTACAATATTAAGTGTATTTTATTAAATTTGTAAATGCTGACAGGGTAGTCTTAAGTAAATCGATAAATATATATTTGCGTAATAACCATAACTTGGTAGAAATTTATATTTAAGATAGTTTACTTATTATTATATAAATAAATTGACATATTTATATATATATATATATATATATATATACGTATTCACTATATTGACAATATATATGTAATTATGTGTAGAAATATGAAAATAATAGTTGTGAAAAACAAAATGCTTTAAATTCAACTGAAAATTACGAGAATATAAAATAAATTGCATATAATTCTATATATTTATTTAGAAACTGATGTCCAGTTAACTTTAACCGATACGTATTTCCTTCAAATTTTATTTTTAATTTTAATCGTAATTTTTAACTAAAATTAGCTAAAAGGCACATTACTCACTTTAGACGTAATAAAACTTTGTACAATTATTCTAATAATAAGTTTTATTCATTTTCTAAATTCAATAAATTCTTATATTTCTTGAAGCAAAACTGATACTTCAACCTAAATATTTCCTGATATTTGTATCATTATTAGACTTAATTATTGTCACGCGTGCTTTAATTGTACTTCAATATCTTTTATGAAATATTAAATAGTTGTAATAAATATAAGAATAGAATAGAATTCGATGTAAATAATAACAAGCTTAATTTGTTTTAATATTAGCTAATTTCCATAAATAACCAGCAATTTACCTCATTTTATTAGCGCATGGCTTAAGAATGTTTATTAACAATTTAATTTTCTTCTTCAACTTTAGAATGTAGCAGTATTAGTAAGCATTTATATTATTGAATCAGTAATTTCAAATAACATTGATAAAGGTGCATAAAGGAAGAAATTTTTTTTTTTTTTTTTTAAGGAAACAAGGCAAAACAACGTTAATTTGTTCAGGTTTTTCAGCCAACGATTAAAATGCTATAAATATTGCAATACAAATGTGGTTGTGAAATACTAGCTTTCTCTCTCTATCTCTCTCTCTCTCTCTCTCTCTCTCTCTCTCTCTCTCTCTCTCTCTCTCTCTCTCTCTCTCTCTCTCTCTCGCTCTCTATTTCTCTCATTCTCACACATTCACTCGCTCGCTCAATTTCTTCGAACGTGTACACATATGAATATATGCGTTAAGAAAAGACAATAAAATAACAGCCGTTCAAGCGGGAAAACAAGCGCGAACGAAGGGATGGTTCGTTAACCAGCAATAACTGTCAACAAGTTCGCTGGCAGAAAGTCAACGCCTCCAGTCTGCCTAAAAGCTACTAAGAGACTTTCGTCGTAATTTTTGTAAAATCAGCAAACTGTGGAGAACGCCTGATCATTCGTATGTTGATGGCTTTACAGCAGCACTGTAAGGAAAGAAATTCGTGTCTAGAGAATGTCTGACAAAAAATCTAATTTACATATAAAACTGAATTTCATTCCCCTTCTCAGCTTATTCCAATTGCATTTATTTTGCTCTTTTCAGATATTTATATTTAAGAACAATTCTTCTTAAATGATATTTGATTTTAATGATAATGAAATAGATAAAAAGATAGATAAATGGTGTTGTAGAGGATGGAGAAGAAGCGGGAGAGTCAAGATATATAGATAGATAGATAAATAGATAGATAGATAAAGAGAGAGTGAGAGAGAGAGAGAGAGAGAGAGAGAGAGATAACACGCAATATTAAATGAAAATATGTTACGATACTTACATGCAGCAAAAAACAAACAATGATTTTATTGATTTTATTGATTTTATTGATTTTATTGAAACATAACGTATAAGGGCCGACCTTTTAATTAATATTCTACAATGTATTAATGTCTTGATCTATACAGCAACTGATCAGTTGTTATTTTTTAACTGCTGTTCAAAGATATAATTTTTATTTCTAATTTAATTATAATTCTTCCTATTTAAAAAAAAATAAAAACCATAAAAAGTAAATGTTCCACTAAAAGTATTTACATTATTATACCAATAATTGTATTTTCCACCAAAAAAAATTTTTAAGTAAAACATAAATAAAAATAATGACATCCAAAATTATCTTTCCTTTATTAAACACTTGAGTATTTTGTGATATCTGGAATACTATACTGTATGTATATATATATATATATATATTTGTTATTAAATCTTATTATACACATTAATTAGTAATTATAAACACATGAAAACATATAATTTAGTGTATTTATAATAATTTTACGGAGATTATTTAGTTTCTGATAAAATATGTGAATTATTGTATTATGTCTTTTTTTCATCGTACTATTATTTTATTTAATTATTTTCGCAAGATTTTTCAATAAAAAAATGTAGAAAACGATTCAATTAAATTTTTATATACAAAATTAATGCATTAAGTCTTAAATATATAAGTAATATCACTTTGTAGAGATTAATCATTAACTATTTAATAGTGAGTGCTTACTTTACTTCAGTACCTACATTTGTGAAAGTTAATATTATAAAATAGTGAATACATGAAAATGCTGTTTTGTTGTTAAAATTTGTAATGAAAATTGGATAACTGTATGAAAAAATATTGAAGACAATACGTTAAAGAATAGTATAATTACTGTTGTATTAATTGTTATTTTATTTCATTTTACGTTAAATTTTGTCGTAAAAATGGAATGTTATGTTTCAAAATATGTATAAACATGTTGCTTTTAAAAAGAAAAATCCAAAACATCGGTAATTCTGTTCTGATTATTTAAAATGTATTCATAAATAATTTTAGAGTATAAATGTCAAGAACAATTAACATGTCCAAATAAATTCAATGGAAATAAATAGAAAGTATACATTTAGTCAATTGACTCTTCCATTGAAATTGTAAAAAGTTTACGTGGTGAAACTGCTTAGGATTAATAAATCAGAGATTCCTTCTTACGTTCACGTAATTCTAGTCATTTCAATGCCAGCTTTTCGAGAATATGCCTAGTGAAAACTAAAAATATTTGTTTACGAATACGTCTATCGTAAAAAATGAAGGCTTAGACAAAAACATACTTTGGCTGGAAAAAATAACAACCTATAGTATCGACGTCGAATGCCAGTTGATTACTGCAGCTTTTTGACACAGAAAAGCTGCTGTTGTGCATATAAGCTCCAATTGTTTTAATCGCGTACCGCATGTCGATAAAGATGCTTTCGTGAATTTTTGATTCTTTTTGAATCCGCTTAAGCCAGCGACGTCGTGGCTGCACGACCGTTTTATGCTCTTTTATGTCTTTGGTAGCGCAAATAAGAAATAAGATAGTGAGTAGCAAATATAAGGGAATTCCAGTTAGCTTCCTGTATAAAGCTGGCTTGAGCTTTTGCCAAGAGCTTTTGTGAGCTAACCCATTACTGAAGAAGTTTCTTGTTTCATTGCCTCTTTTCAGTCTGATGAATCAAACTTTTATTAAATTTGTTAATCATTAAGAATGCTCTGTACTTTTAAAGATAAAGAAAAGGAACCTGAAACATTTATCCTTCGCAATATATATCATTCTTGTTTTTTTTTTTTTCATTTTAATATTAATTATAAAAAAATAATATTAAATTGGTTCGTTAATACTAGAGCACTTGATCATTTCGATTTTAATTGAAGAAATTATTAAAGGTCAAACTAAATGTACATTCTAAAAATTTTCATTCGATAAACTTATAAATAGCTATAATGTAAAAAGAAATGATGATTTATTCATTATTTAATACGTTTCCACAACTAATATTGAACATAAATTAATGTTGATATTCTTCATAAGTGTCGAGTATACCTTTATTAATATTTCATTAGTATATAAG